GCTCGCAATGTTTCCGTGCCGCGCATTGTTTTAGCCTCAATTTACGCCGTCACCCCGCTGGCTAGCTGGCTAGCAGGCCAGATCTTCCAATAATAATTATTATTATGGATGCGAATAGAGCGTTTTATCCCAGTCAGTCATGTTTAACGCTCAGCACACCATACTTAAACGAATGCGCTCGTCAAATATTTTGGAAACGTTTAAAACTTTGACGAACAGAATAGCGTTTGATAAACATTTATTAGCCAAATGCTGGGCAAATTCGCTCAATTTTTTATTAAATCCGCGCTGTTTAGAGGGTAAATGATCGCAATCGTTTGCAGAGAACGTGTTCGCGATGTGTCGTGCCAAACACGGAATCATCTTCTGCACGAAACTCACTCAATCGTGTGCTATCCTCAGCAAACAGCCTGTTCCAGTAATCAAAGACGGTCAATTAGTCGTTCTACAATCGACGATCGCAAAATGCGTCTCCGAAGGTAGCGATCACCTCCCGAATCACACCTCTTACTTCAGCCAAATTTGATTAAATTTTTTTTTTGGAAATCTTCTGCGCTCCAAATAATCATCAACAAGAAACGGAGCTGCTGTCTGACTAGTCAGAACATCAAGCCAATTTCATCTAAACAACAATAAACTCAAGAANCGGAGCTGCTGTCTGACTAGTCAGAACATCAAGCCAATTTCATCTAAACAACAATAAACTCAAGAACTTTAGTGTTTCCAGCTTATATGCTTAGCAAACATCGAAAATTTCAAAATTTTTACACTGAGATCAGCAATTTCGCGTTCGTGAATGTTCTGAGACATTGCAGCCCCACTGCTCCAAAAAACATATGGGGAAAATTAAATATTCCAATTTGTTTTAGAGAACTATTTCGCCATTTTGTTCGTTGAATTCGGCAGAGTCAAGGTGGAACAGTGGATGAGCAAATGCAAGGTTACTGTATGGGATGGACCAATCACTGTCATACAAAAAGAGTGCATCAGGGAAGGTAAGTGCGTGCCGGCTTCACTAGCTCCATTGCTTCATTATGCTGTGTGCTGATTCGCTGGCATACTGTAGTGGGCGGGGCTTGCACACCATTGAGCAACGCTGGCCAATGAGTGAGTGAGGTTGTTGAGTTGAAGAACCAATCATCCCGATTCGTACGTGTAGAGCTAAAAACTGGAATCTGGGCTGGATGCTGCACGAAGATATTTCTGGTCTAATTCAGTGATAGCTTGAATTCTGAAATGGGACGTGGTACCTGTAATTTAGTGGCTACAACGTAAAGGATCACAGCTAGACTGAGTAAAGCCGAAGTTCAAGATTCAAAGCTCAAATGAAAATGATAGCTAGTACAAATAGTATGTTGTACAGAAGAGCAGTACAGATCTCAAATGCTAAGCACAACAGTAGAGATCCGGTAGGAATGAGAAGAATTCAGGTGTCCTTTTCACAAGTCCACTTAAACCGACGTGAAGATGCATCGTCTCTTTGCATAAACAAGTGAACATTATAGTATATATGATGGCTCGTCTAAGAGGCAGTTAGAATGTTGCTGGCTGCATTTTCAGTGAAAGCAAAGCCAGATCCAAAGGCGCTCTGNTTGAAATGTCATGCTTCAAACTCAATAAGCTGGCAATCTCATCACAGACATTCTGCACACTTTGTGAAGTCCCAGATAAAGTTGGTGAATGCATGATGGAAGGTCAGTTTTGTTGCCTTTTCATTCATGATCGATACTGTAAGCATGTAATAGGGACTTCCAAATTGGATGTCTTAGACGTACGCTCGTCTCAACTAGGCTACCAGATCAGCTAATCTGTTGGCCTAGTTGAGAAGAGCATATTTGTTGTGCGGCAAGAAAATTCTGTGCAATAGAGACAGACAATATCGTATAATAGAGGTAAAAATTTCTGAAAAGGTCGAACAAGCGGGAGTGCTTTAGTGGGAGTTTTTATTTGAACATTGGTTCCATCTGGCTTAATCAAGTGATTGATAGTCAGCGGGAAGGGAGGAATGTGTAAATGTAACTGAACAATTTCAGAGAACAGCATTGCAATCTTCTATGCTAGATACGGATACGAAAAGGTGACCGTGTGGATGAACACATGCAAGATCAAGATTACCACGACGAATGGCCTCATCACGAGTGTGGAACAGGCGTGTCTGAAGAAACGTAAGTTTCTGCTATCAATTTAATCCGGAGTCCGAATTTCTAACTCTAGCGCATTGAAACATTCTGAGGAAGATGCAGTGTACTAGTTATATCGTGTAGCTCAAAGGCTCTCAACTTGGATGAATCTAATCTGGTAGTCTAGTCGTTCTCACTTTGATAGCTCAGTGATCAACACTCTAATCTTCTAAGAGCAATGAGAGCAATTTTTCTAATGATACTCAATCTTAAAATCTTCCACTCCTCCTGGTGCTTCGAACTTCTAAGCAGTATCGACAGCTTCTGTCAGCGATAGATTGAGGAGAATGTGGAAAATCAGATGATGCTGAATGAAGTGAAAGTTCCATGAGATAGTACGCAGAATCAATGTAAAGATGGTTGATCTGAGGACAATGTTAAACGATAATGAATGTGAGAAGCGTAAAAATGTCTATCGGTTGCAGTCCCACGGCTGATGATAACAAAATAATTTCAGAGAAGGACATGCCTGATGTGATGACCGTTTGTAAGACCAAGTAT